TTCAGGAACACCCTTGGCAGGTGAGCTAGAAGGGGGGGGGCTCTTTCAGGCTTCTCCTGCTGGGTTACCTCAGTGGGCCAGCAGGCGAAGCGGCAAGGAGACATTTGAATGTCTCCCCGCTGTCTCCGGAGGGCTCCCTGATTCGCTTGCCTCAGCGAGTGGGCCAAGGAGGGGTGGAAGAAGCCCCAGGGAGACATTTGAATGTCTCCCTGTGGCCTCCCGAGTCCTCCCTGGCTCACTTGCCTCGGCGAGTGGGCCAGGGAGTTTCCAGGCCATGCGTCCCCTTCAGCGGCTTCCTCAACACTGAGGGCGAGAGGCCTGCCGCTGGCTGTGTGGGCAGGAGCAGCCACCCAATGCAGGCAGAGGATTGCCGGACGTTCGGAGTGGCAGTTCATGTGGCCTACCTATTTTGTCATGCATTGAATGTTGGGGGACGAAAACTCAATTATATATAATTGTTCTCTCCAAATTAATGTTGTTCAGGCATTTGCAGCAATTTTCAGTGGCCCAATAACAAAACAAATAGTCAAACAAGTACAACATTTATTCAGGGGGAAAACAGAAGCCATGCATATGAAAAAGAATACCAGTGGCATTCTCATTTTCATGGCACTCTGCAGTGCAACATGATTGGTACCCAAAAGCCACTTCAGTAAGGTGGGAACCCAGGGAATCTGCCTGTTCCCAGATTTGGGTATTGATGTGCCCTGGGCATGGAGAATTCAGAGTTCTTTCCTTTCCTTTCGTACCCTTAAAACCTCATTGATTCACAAACCTTGAGCAGCAGAAGACACTTATTTAGTTCAGTGTTCTAACAAGATCAATGACATTACTTCTGGATACAGATGCTAAGGTTTGGATGCCATCACACAGAAATGAATTAGTCAGCAATACAAATCACTAATGTGAAAATCAGGCTTCAGCCACCAACACAGCACAGCACAACACAACACACTATTTAGGGTGTCATACCAAAAATTACAAATAATCTACCTGTTATGTGACTCAACTCACGGCAAAGCTATATGCATCACAGCAATTGAGATGCATAGTTAATGGAAGAATCCTTTTAAAGCAGTGTGACATTCCAATTCTTAATGGGGGAAACATACCAAACCTTCAGAAGTCTCAGTTTTACAACACTGTTTAATACATGGGCCTAGTGAGAAAATAATGGGGCCATGGCTCACAGCATGGGTAGGGGGAGGTGCAATATAGGTGTATGTCTCATCCCTCCCCACTGCTTTGCAGCCACACCTCATAACTTCCTTTCCAACAGCCAGTGGGTTAGAAAAGGTAACCAGGAGGGAACAGGATGCTCAAAACTGGCATGCATCCCAGATCTCTCTGCATAGTCACACACAGTAACAGGGGTTTTGTATGGGGATGTCAACTGGGTCAGAAGCAGCATATGACTCTCACATTCTATTTTTAATCTGCCTGATATCATGGCTTGCAGTAAGCTGGAACATGTTTCAACTTCATGTAGTTCAGCAGCACTAGGCAGGCTAAATGCAGATGCGAGAGAGTCATGCACCACTTCTGACACAGCCAGCTAATACCATGCAATGTGAGAAAATGACCTGCAGCATTAAGGAAGGAACAACAAATGTTGAAGACAGCTGGGGCTCAATGGTACCTCTCAAGAGGCAGATATGGTCCAAATGCTTTCAACTTCCAAACCCTACAGAGCTTAAATCGTGGGATGCCACTATTCTACCACTCCTCTGAGAAAAGTTTATTCACTAAAATACTTATACCCCACCTCTCCTTCTGGCTTAAGTACAAAGCCTTCCTTTCATTGGAGGGAGAGCTATTTAAGTTGAAGGAACATTCCTTAAGGCTGGAGGAAGGTTACTTGCAGGATGGTTGGAGCCCGATAACTAGAGGGAGTGAGGAAGAAAAGAATGCAGAAGAGGATAAATATGGCTGCAAGGAAGGACTTCCCAATATCATACTGCTATAAATGGAATTTATGCAATCTAATTATGAATAAGATAATGGCCATAAAAACTGCAGAACTTACAAAATGCTAATAAAGGCCACACTGAAAACAAATTACGGAAGTTTTAAACATAAAACCATACCATCATGGAATTCATTTAGACAGGTAACAACAATAAATAGTTTAAAAGCTAACTGGCTAGTAACACCTTCAAAAAGTATACATGATCTTCAGCCTCCATCTGCTATCTCCAATGCAAGATACAGGGAGGCTTTAAGAAGTTCTAATGAGGTGGTATCCTGGCAGACTATTTGTAGGCTGCCCAGCTGATTCATGGAGCTGTGGCGGCTCAAGTGGTTAAGACGCTGAACTGCAGGCTGTGGAAGGTCGGTAGTTCAGCAGTTCGAGACCCAGGGTGCTGCATGATGGAGTGAGCTCCCGTCTCTAGTTCCAGCTCCTGCCATCCTAGCAGTTCGAAAGCAAGAAATTGCAAGTAGATAAATAGGTACCACTTCGGTGGGAAGGTAACAGAGTTCCGTGCGCCTTGGTGTTTAGTCATGCCGGCCACATGACCATGGAAATGTCTTCGGACATCACTGGCTCTTCGGCTTTGAAATGGAGATGAGCACCGCAACCCTAGAGTTGGACATGACTGGCTTTCGAGCAAGGGAAACCTTTACCTTTACCCAGCTGACTCAACAACAATTACATTACCCTTATGTGCACTGTAAACATAAATACCATGACATTATTTCCAATATGGACAGGGACTGTTGCCAGAGGTATATATATGGTGTGTGCTTTTGCTCCAACTTTTAGTTTATAATTTAGAATATTTGCCTTTCCATTTGAGGTTCATCCACTTAATCCAAATTTCTTCCACTCCATGCAACTTTCTGTAGGCATCATCATCTTCACATTCAGTGACTTCAGCTTCAAATAAGTTACTTCAGCTTCTGATCTGATCAAATAAGCCACTTCAGCTTCATATAAGCAAGTTAGTGCTATTTTAGCAAAAAATTAAAAGCCTAATGAATATGGATGACCTTCACATGTTTCACTGCTGGAAAGCACATGACCTTTGCCATTCTGGATTCACAGAAGCATATTTATAAGACCCACCTTAGAAGAAAAAGAATACTTGCGGTCACAGCCAAGAGGGAATATTTTGTTTCATACTATAAAGCATTGAATGCATACTGCAACAGTAGCAGTACAAATTTTCTTTAGTTGCCTAGAAATTAAATGGACCACAAAAGCCAGTACCCAGTTCAATGTCTACCTATTTCAGAACATTTTAAATGAACGGAACAGAAATTGTGCAGCTCAACGAAGTAGGCCAGCATTTTTATCCCCATGTTGCAGATGGGGACTAAGGCCAAGACAGAGAAGGGTGGCTAGCCTAAAGCCAACTAATCTGTGGCAAGAATGAGATTTAGTGACCTTATACAAATCACTACTCATTGTTTTAGTCACTAACACGACCAGCTCCCAGCTATACAAATTACAGCTATACACAAGCTTTCTCATGGCTCTGCCCCACAGCTGACCTTGATCCTAGGACCTTGTGCTTCCAAGAATTTTCCAAGAAGGAGCTGAGCCAATGGTTCATAAGGAATGAGATTAGACAAAATTCTTCCGCTATCCCCTCTAACTCTGAATTGGCTAGAGCAGGGGTCCCCAACCTTTTTGAGCCTGTGGACGCCTTTGGAATTCTGACACAGGGTGGTAGGTGCAGCCCCAAAATGGCTGCCCCCTGAAACGGAGCGAAACACAAAATGTCAGAGGGTGACGTTATGCATAACTCTAATGGTGAAGCTCAACATACTGTTTAAAAATATTTTCTTGCATACACACAACAACGCATTGAAGATTCTCACGCTGTGGCGGCAGCTGTTACTGAAGCATAACTTTTTACAAAATCTGCATATTTCTAATGGCCAATCAGAAGCCCTGCTGGAAAAAAGCCATACCTGGCCCCACCCACTTTCTAAATACACTTAGTGTGTTTAGAAAGCTGACACACCAAGAAAAATGTCAACATGTGCCATGGCAACTATAAGCACCACATTGGCGACCCCTGGGCTAGAGCTAGATGCCAGCAGGAAATCAAAGTATTTTCTGGTTCAGCTCATACCTTGGGTGTGACCAAAGGCTTCCTCTTTCTACTGTTGCATGCTCCACCTCGCCCCCGTAGCACTTGAAATTGTGCTGCTACTTCTGTTCTATCTCAATTAGCTACACCTAACTAGTAAGAATGGATCATCAACCTATTTAGAAGGGGCAACTGCAAAATCCTATGATCATAGGTTTCACAATCAAATGTTGGATGATGTGTCATTCTCACACAGTTTGGACTGCTTTCCTGATCAAAGACTGTACTCTTAGGGTTCTGTTCCTCAAAGTTCCATGAAATTTGATAATAGATATTTGGGATAAAATGCCTGAAACAAGAGAGAAATATAACCTGATCAGCACATATCTAGAAGAATCTGTTCCACCTTCTTGTTTTGTCCAAGATAGCAACCAGCTCATTATCTAGCACAATAATATGACAAAAATATTACCTTTACTAAATTTGTTTTTTCTTTTCTGGAAAGACAAACAAAAGCTCACTTTCTGAATTCTGTTAATCTTTCACCTGCACATCATCTTCAAGTATCACAAAAACCAGTTAACCCAAAATATTAAAGTTTATGCACAAATGTAAATCCTTTCACTTTTGAAAAAAACAACAGTGAAACTTCTGGTACTACTCAGCACACTAAGATCAGAACACAAAGAACAGATAATGCAGTTCTAGTTAAACTTACAATGAAATCCGAAGTCAATGGGCTTAGAAGGGCGTAACTCGTCTTAAGATTGTACTTCCTAGCTTCCTCGTTTCAGATGCACAGCAAAAAAAAGTACAGATGACTAAAGGATCACAACAACAATATTTTCATAGGAATTCACTATTCTAGTAAATGCATGCTTACTTTTATAAAAAGAATATAAAAAATAAGTAATTTTCCAAGTTTCAGTGCTCTGCCAAAAAGAATGAAAAGTTACTCACCTTTGATTTTATGTAGAATGGTGATGACTGCTGATGTATTGCTAAGTCCATGATACTATTTGAATTTGTAACACTATTACTAGTGGTGTGTTCATCATCTCTGCTGCTTTCATCAGACTGATCAAAGTCATCACTGTCCTGGTCCATTTCCTCCTCTTCCTCCATCTCCTCTTCCTCCTGTTCACCAGCATGTTCATCATCTTCCTCCTCTTCTTGGTTACCAGAATATTCTTCATCCACTGCAATAAACCTGTTGTTGTTCTCTTCTAACTGCTCTTGCTGGGATTCATTTCTGTGGCAAAGTCCAGGCTCCCCTCCACCTATTTCTCCATTCCTTGCAACATGTACCTCCTCTTGTTGCCGTAACTGTTGCTGCTGCTCCTCCTCCACAACTCGATTCATCTGTTCCTCATCCACTTGGCTGGAGGAAGCATTACCACGAATAGACCCACCAGTTCGCCGTCTCTTGCTGCCAGCAGACAGCAGTTCCTGATTCATTTCCAAAAGCCAGCTTGCTACTTCTTGGACCTTTGCTAGACTATCTGAAGATGCAAATGTTTTCACATTCTAAGGAGAAAAGAACAGAGAACACTATTACAAGGAGTATACACATTATTAGTATCTCATTTATATAAGGAGTTACATTTCATGTTTTTTTCTGACCCAGAACGGTTTGAAGCACAGCATGGCGGCATTATTTTGAATCTGGAGGTATAATGTGGTCACGGCAATTTCAAATTAAGTCCTCCTCTTACGCATGTTGTAATGGATAATTAGTTTTATACATTTAGATTCACTATAACATAGAACAATATGTACACTGAACCCCAAATGCCTCTCATTAACAACACAAAGCTTTTGTGGTTCATAAAATCTAAATTAGGCACCCTGGACAGTGTCAATTATAATGAAAATAACATAGATAATGAAATAGATTGCTCATGTAAAGTTATTTTGAATTTTTTTCCTTTGCAATTGGTTACTGATAATGTGCATCCCACAGCAATGTTAATTATTTTAATGCTAATGATTTCATTTGGCTATACATCTTAAGCAACATATACATAAATACATGACTGATGACAACCTGATAACTTGGCAAACATGTTCAAAATTACACAAGTACTTTGACGAGAGCTCTTTTAAAGAGTTTTCTTCAAAGATTCAAAAACATTTGAGGGCTTTAGAGAGTTTATAGAATCTGCAACTGCCATATTCACTATGAGGCGTATGGCCAGAGATGCTAAACTTTATTCAGGCATCTCCTTCCCACTCTCCTTTTCACAGATGATCAGTACTGTTGACTGAAAGTATTGATCTTTGACAGGTGGAAACTATACACAGCATCTGAGATACAAATCATGTTTACGCTCTTGGTTACCCAAAATTAGGGACACTGCTATATGTCAAGAAAATCATAGTGCAGGTCATATACATAGGTTCACAGTAAAAATAAATGTAAAAAATAGCTGCATAACAGTACCAACAGATTAGAATGCTACAGTGTCCTATTAATAGCTTTTAATATGCATGATAATAGGATTAATAATCAACAATACACTGTTAATGATAACTGGGAGTAATTTTGTCAACTACAGTTTGTCCCACAGGAGTTATTACCAGAGAACACACAAAAGAAACACTACTTGAGCTGGTTTAGTACATCGAGAAATCACCAGTACAAACATCTCTCAGCCACTAGAGGGTCTTAAGAAAGCCACTTTTCTCACCACCACCCCCGTCATGTCAGGTTCTACAATGCCAAGACCACGGCCACACAACCCGGAAACTGCACAAAAGGTTGCCATAAATATTACTGAGAACATATCTAAGAACAGGAAAACCTATTCAAAACCTTTTACTAAGGCCAACTAAAATGCAACACATTGTGCTGCAAGCTTTTGAGTCCTCCAGAACTCTTCATCATATGCAGAGGGGAAGATTTTTGAAGCAATACTCTTAAGGCCTCTATAGCCTATCTATAGCCTGTGCAGGATGCCTTGCTGACTTCAGTGGGCACAGGTTTCATGAAGTGATTGTGCCCCATGTGTTTTTATACTTTTAACATCCAATCTAATGAGAAACAGGAAACCTCCTCAGGAAACAATCCATATTCAAAAGAACCTCCTCAGGAAAGTTCGTACATTAGCATGTTCATAGCCTGGGGAACACCTACAAGATAATGACTCAGCCCTACCCCACCTTCTGGAGTAGATATAAACTACCTGCCTACCATTTTCTTCTCACCTTGACACAGAGAGTACTCCATTTTGCTGTGTTATATCTCTGAGGATGCCAGTCACAGTTACTGGTGAAACGTCAGGTTCTACAATGCCAAGACCATGGCCACACAACCCGGAAAATCTGCAGCAACTATTCTGTGCTGTATTATTTTGGTTGGTCTAAATGAAAGGTATTATATGGCTTTCATTTCTGGATATGGCTACGGACCAAGAGAACTACCTACTTTTTTGATATTTATCTTGAAAAGATATGTTTACAAAACATTTATATAAATATATTTATACATTATGAATATAACAAGAATTTGTGAGAAGTGCCTCAAGCATTTTCAAGCACTAGACATTATTTCATTAGATAATCTCTTACCCATGGTATGCAATCATATTCCATCACAGAAATATTGCCATGTGTAAGATGGCATGGTGCTGATTAAATATATTCTATTCAAGAGTTGCAACAGTAGTCATAGCACAATCAATATCCAAGGCTAAAAAAGAAACTATTAAATGAATTCTCATATTATACCACTAGAGGGCAATCCTTCCTGCTTATCATTAACGACAAGAGCTGTGTTAGTCTGTCTGTAGCAGTAGAAAAGAGGAAGAGTCCAGTAGCACCCTAAAGACTGACAAAATTTGTGGTAGGGTATGAGCTGTCATGAGTTGCTGTTCACTTCTTCTTCTTCAGAAAGCTCATACCCAGCCACAAACTTTGTTAGTCTTTAAGGTGCTACTGGACTCTTCCTCTTTTCTACTGCTACAAGAACAACAAAAAGTGTTAAAGTTTGTGTCAAGCACAGTGTTTATTTTGCCCAGTAAAGGACCTCAAGGAATTGTGTTCAGTCTTTTCAATCTGATCTGAAATGAAAGTACAGAGTTATTTACAATAACCCTACGACCCCAGTTTATTTCATCTAGATCCAATGAACATTTTCCTAGGGAATTCAGACAAGCTTAAAACATAAAACATTTTGTTGTTCTTTTTTCTTTCTTTCATTTTATAGGCCTGGAATAATTTAAGAGCAATAATTTGGAAATTAAAGTGAAATCTTAGGAACTCAGTAGGATTTATCTTCAAACAAATATGTATGGGAGTGGACTGTGCATAACTAATTTCAAACACTGTGCAGTTGCCGTGTTAATGGCAGTCAGTGAATGTATGATACGCTTGGTTACTGTGTTGTTTGAAAAATGACATTAAAATCAAAACCAGCATTCGCTTTCAATAAATTCTCACTCCACACTGGCCTTCAGCTTAATAGTATGGAATCCAACAGCAAACCTCAATAGAAGAGAAGGAATATATACCCCTACCTTACTGTTCAATGCTCTATGTTTTGCCCAGAGCGTCACATTCTTTTCTCCAGTTCCCAGTCCAGAACTTTACATTCTTGTCTCACTGCAGCTTCATATTTGGACAACTTCTGATCTCTATGTGTGCGCTTTTTAAAATGGTGCACATTTAATTTATTTACATAAAGAAGCCAGTCCTCCTCTTAAGTTCTGTTTGTAAGAGGGAGAACTGCACAAAACCAGACATCTCGGTTTTGAACTGGTTTTAAGAATCTGTTGGAGAGACATGGAGAATGGAAATTATCAAATACTGATAAAAGAAATATGGGGAATAGAAAAGGCTAGGGATAACAGTTCTGGCATGTATGGGGGAGGGAGGAAGAAGAAAATAAATTACATGTGTAATGTCAGTTAAATTAAATGTGCATTCGGTGCAGTAGTCTGGAAAAAGGAACTGATTAACTGAGCCCAATGTTGATTGAAAATAAGTCATAACTGGAAGTTAGCCTATGTTCTCTTTTCCAACATACCAGCAGAATCCTTTCCACACAGGAACAAAAAAAAAACATACAAAAACCAGTAGGAGCTAGTCCTATGAGCATAGTGGCTAGGCATAGAGTGCAAGGGCAGATGAGTACAGAACTGAGGTGGGATAGATGAGGAAGGCTGGTTGGTGAGCCTTCCCTTTCCATGCCTTGAGCTGTTATCCTTGAGACAGAACAAACTTGATTTACCTATAACATTAAAAAGGTACCCTTGTGTATGTTTACTGAACCATCAGGGTCTTTGACGTATCAGTAACAGAAGATTACCAATCTTAAAGGAAACTGCATCTCCTCCAGAGTTCATAGAATGCTGTGTACAGATATTTTGAAAATTTATGTTGCCTCTCAGTACCTGCTCAAAGCAGCTTGGGTAATTTCAGTGTCTAATGTTGACAAGTGTAAGGAGTATTACAAAATATATTGTATTTAAACTATTTTAACTCCGATGTACATTAAACGTTTTGATCTATCAGTTACAGAACAATTTATGAGAGCTGTAAAAGAATCAAACATTTTGACAGAAACCCAGGAGACTCAATTCTTGGCAGATTTCTACTTAATTACATTGAAAAAGCAAAGAGTTATAGTTTTTAGCTACTTGTTAAGTAGAAGGAAACATAAATTATAAACAGGGAACTGTTTTAACAATCATATTTAAATTTAAATGTCAATGGACATCAATTTAGACCAAACAGGGAGATACTCCTCAAAAAAATCTAGACTCTCAGCAACTAAAAGTGATAGATTTAAAAAGCAAAATGAATTAGGAGAACTAAATTAGGAGTAGGTGGGTAAAAACCGTCTATGCATTATGACTATCCTATCCTAACTCCTTCAAGCTTGTTGGAAAATGTACAATCTGACCCTATATTATCTAGATCTGTAATGGCCTGGTATTTTTAAAAATATAAATGGTCCTGTGAAAGGAAAATGATTGTATATACCCTATAAAGTTTGGACACAGCTAGAAGCTCTTGGCTCATAGCCTGTGCCTTTGAATAAGCCACAACTGGCCCAAGATTTAATAGTTTGGTTTCTGTTTAATGGTTTATTTATATAGCGCATTTTTGCTGTGTTAAGTCGCTTTGAGCCCCTATGGGGGGAAAAATAGGTATGAATACATTTTAAACAACTAAAAAATAAATTTTACTTAATAGGACTGATCTCCCCTACCCAAATACCTGACCCAAGTGTTGTTGATGATAATGAACCAGTTGAAAAGGCAAAGGGAGAGTGAAGAAAATCAGTTATCAAGGTGGGAGGGCAGAAACGAAGACATGTTGAATTGGAACATATGGAACAATAAATGTATTTTAAATAATTAACCATCTATTTCAATTATTAAACAATGGAATCCAATGGAATTGGATTATGAAACAATGGAAGCCAATCCAAGTGTTCTAATTCCTAACCAGGGTCTTTTTGAAAGAAAATTAAATCCCAGATAGGCACAGAGAAATCTAATCTGGGAAAAACTTTTCAGAAT